GTGATCAACCCATCGTAGTGTGACACAAAATCTATCGAAAGGTTTCCTGATAAAGGGCACAATATCTCCTTCGTCATCCCCCCAAAATTCTTCTCAGCCCACACAACGCTTTGTGAAACCTTGTACAACCGTAAATGGCCCCAAAATCGCAAATCACGCACGCAGATCTTTTGGAAAAAAAAAAAAATTGATGAAAGGAAATAAAAGACTTACCATTTCAAGGTTCTTGGAGAAACAAGCTTGTTGCCTTTGCCAACACAACCCACGGTGGGACCCATACGTCTCCAGAGGGAATTTTGCATGCGCATCAACCGCTTTTCCTCAGCACGTAAGGCAGACTCGTGTTTTTGTTGTTGAAGTTGCCTGCTGATGTTTCCAATGACCTTGTTACCAGAGGCACGCTGCTGTTGAGACGATTGTTGGTGACCTGGTTGTTTGCGGTTCGCTTGCTCTTTGACATGTCTTTGTTGTTTGGATGATTGGACTTTGGCGGCCACGGTAGCGGCAGTCAATTTTTGTTCGTTCTCTTCTCGAATCTTTTCTCGGCAGGCGGCAAGTTGACGAGTGATTTCCTTGTAAGTGTAGATAACATCAGTGGTAGTCCAATCATGAGTTTGACCAAGATAGTCGACAGATTGAGTAGCAGTCAAGGTGATAGATGGTTGTTCCATTTTTGCTTTGTTTTTAGTTGTATGAACGTTGAAAATCTTTTTTGAAAAATTGGACGAAGGTTGATTTATATAACTTTCAAGTTCTTGAAGTGAATTTGATATTTTCTTTTTAAAAATAGAATTAACTATTTTTTTTTACAGAGAGTTTAGGGTGGGTGATTGTATATTTACAAAATAATGGGCTTTGAAACCACACAGGTTAATTGAAGTTCGCGTCAAAAATAAATTAGCTAAAGTAGATAAGTAAAATCGAGCAATTATTGAAGATTGTAGTTCGAATTAAATTACTTTTACACTAGACACTTTGGATTTAAATCGTTAGGATTTGGTGATGGAGAATTGTCTCGCTTTGTTGTCTATGTGTTCTTCATTAAACGACGGAAGAAGTTAATTTTTTTCCTCGTTATCTAGAGTTTTAAATCAACTTTCTTTTTTTTTAAAAAAAAAAAAAAAAAAAAGATGGTAATGTACTAAGGAATTGAAGTTGTTTATGTATCTTTTCTGTCTGAAAAAAACGTGAACTTCAGATTGAAGACTGAGTTGTACGCGATGAAGGTGTCTTTATATACGTTGAAAGTAAGAAGGCGTTTGTTTCTTCAACTTTCAAAAAAAGAAAAAAATATACAAGGAATTAAAGTAAATGTCAAGCAGAAAAAAAAAAAAAATGATTTTTGAGTTGAGCGGTTTTGCATCAAATAAAGCATACTTAAATATTTTTTTTTCATCAGCAGAACAGATAAAAATTTTTTTTTTAAAGTGTACATACATTATACATATGTTTATAAAAAAAAAAAAAAAATTTTTTTAATTTAAGGTCGCATAATAAAAAAATTTTTTTTATACGGGAAAATAAGGTTAGAATACCCACCTCACATTATTATTAATTACCCCAAGTCTTTTTATTTATACGTGTAAACCTTGCGCAAAAAAAAAAAAAAAAAAAAAAAAAAAAATATATATATATATATATATACATATATACACATATATATTGGCATTTATACTGCATATCCGAACAGTCATATAATAAATTAATTAATTTGCTATACATATTTTGCTGACCACTCAATGACCGCATGTTGCCCACAAACCTACAGTAGACGAGCGAGCGAGAACTCTCTCTCTCTTTTGACCGACATCCCTCTTAAACATCAAATCCTATTCATGATAAAATAGTAAAAGAATGCAAGTAAATCAATATACACACTTTTAAAATAAATAATAATAATAAAAAAATCTTTTTGTGGATGTACCGACCGACCGACTGACCGACAGTAAGCATAAAAAAAAAAAAAATTTTTTTTTTTTTTTTTTTTATATGTTTGTTTATACTTATTTATTTTTTTTATTTATATTGGGTATTGGGGGTAGGAAAGAGATATCGTTGTTTAATTTGTGTATAAATAAATTAAATGCGTGGTTTTAAAACAACAAAAAAAAAAAAAAAAAAAAAAAATTTTTTTTTTATTTATTTATTTTTTGCTATCGAGTACTAAAAAAAAATGGGGAAGTAAATTCTTTCCAAATTCGGCAAGTGCGAGGAAAGGAAGACGCCGAAAGTTGATGCAATATTTGCAATATTGGAAAGAAAGAATGCTTATTTATGTACCATATCCATTTATTTGGCAATTGTATATTTGACGTATAACAGTAGCCCAAGTACAGTAATTATGTACAGTATATCCCAACGAACGCTCATTATTGAATCGTAAAATAATATGTGGTATGATGTCCTGGTCAAACTTTTTAGACGGACGGATACATATTTTAAATTTTTTTTTTTCATTTCAGCGTATAATCAATTATACAATTGCACTTTATTTTTTTATTTTGGTCACGTATAACAGGATTCTGTTGAGTCAAGTATAAACATAACGACACGCAAGGAACCTTCATTTACTTGCGAAATTCTTTCTACAGCACCCTTTAAACATAAACATAACACAGCAAAAATTAAGGTCACATATGGTGTGACGACTTAAGTAATCGAGGTAACAAGAATTAATTTAATCGTAATATATACAGTGTATAGTTTTGTTCTCAAATATTGCCATTGGACTCGAGTTCGTGTTGTGGTAATACAAATCTAAAACCTAGAGACAATCATCATCTTCTTTTCTACCGTCAATTACATTTCATTAAGGCATAATGTTTAGGAGATAAACCTTCTTTTATTGTAATTTAGCCAAACAAGCAACAATCCGTGACAAAAAGAGAATTAACAGGTTGGCCAAACGTGTGTGCGCCTCGTTTACAAGTGTGACGAAACGTTCCTTCTTTGGCGCACACCCAGTGCTCTGCCCCCGTTCTCTCTTACCTATTGTAAATCAGGATAATCCCATGCATTTTGAGAATTCAATAAGTAATATTTTTCTTTGAGACCTTCCAAAGGCAACGAAAAACACGTCCGTTCGTGGGAGCGAGAATGTCCTAGATGGCGGTTATAGGCGCGAAAGAAATGCCAACATCAAATGACAAATCACGCGCGCGAGGCGATTATTCGCGAATGGCCGAATCCTCTATCCCTGTGGATTTCGACGCGCATTTAAGATGCAAGGAGGAGACCCCTTGTGACGGTGGCATCGGCAGTGTTTCTGTTTTTTTTTTACAATGACAGAAATTGCCGCACATACAGTGATTCAAAATGATTGTAAAGAGAACCAAAAAGGGTTGTTTCTTTCTTTCGCTCTTTGTACAATTGATGTTTGTTGTTTTAAAGGCGGCGAAGGGAAGCAACAAATAAGCAAGGAAGGAAGGATCAACAAATGACGCATTACCTTTAGGAAAACAATCAAGTTTCGGTCGTGAGTTCGTTCACATCTATCACCAACACACGTCGCATAGTTCATCGCACTGGCGCGCATCTCGTTAACACAAAGAAAACATCTTGGATAATAATAATGTAAATTTGCCGTATATTTGACATTATAAAGAAACATCTTGGATAATAATGTAAATTTGCCGTATATTTGACACTATAAAGAAACCATCTTTGGTAGTGTAAATTTATCATGTACTGCTGCTGTATTTGACGCTACAAAAAAAAAAAAAAAAAAAAAAATTTTTTTTTATTCTGTACAACAGTTGAGATGTATTATTGTTGATGGCCCGGTTGGTAACTTGTAGAAGAATAAATTTTTTATTTGATGAAACACCTAGTCAAACCACTTGTTGTATATTCACCGATGTTTATGTTTATCGAGATGAGCGCGTGTGTGGCAGTTGGTCACTGGACCACGTCCAATCTTTTCTTTATTCTGACTCATTCTGGTGTGCACCTTTTTTTTTTTTAATCATCTTCTCTTTTATTTTAACTCTGATCCATCACAGCTCACCCTTATTTGTTTTGTCAACATTCTGGATTTTTTGAGTGGTCATTGCGGCATTGCCGTACTTGCGTATTCGTACAGCAATACGCATTACCTGTCTGCATGCCTGACCCGTTTGCCTGCAAGATAATTTAGAATTTATTCCTATACGTGTATAAGTTTATGCAGCTATTGTTTGATTTTGACGGATGGTATGAGGAAGGTCAGATGAGCTCGCAATGTTGACGGATGTTGTTCGTGTATGCAGAAGAATCGAATCATATCAGATTTTTACACCACTGTATCACCAGTTATATGACACATTGATCAAAGCAAAAGTCACCTGGATAATCAGAAATTTAAAATAGGTCGTACGCAAATATTACGGACCACTGGTTTAAAATAAATGCTACGAGAAAGAGCGATCATTGCTACGTACTCCATAAATTATTGATTATCGGTGATGGAAATGTTGAGCGCAAATTTTCCATCTGGCGAATGAACAGTGATCGTACTACGATACAAGGCAGGTGCGCAAGGGACAAGGAAAAAAAAAAAAAGAAATCCGGTCACATTTTTTTAATTATTGGATTATCATTGTGAATAAAATAACGTTAAGGAATCCAATTCGGTGATATAAACTTTATTTTTGTCCTAAATTACGTTCCCTTAACAATCCGTCGGATCGGCAAGAAGCATTAATTTATTCTCGCTTTCGCCCAACATCAAAAAAATCCATACGTAGAGATGCATTGGGTGTATTGTCGTTTTTGTATTCAATTGATTGCAGCTGGGTACGTATGTGCATAGGCGTGTCTACGCACACTGTGTCTCTTGTTTACCGTTGTTTTTCTAAGCCGCCTTCTCGCAATTACCTTTCTGGTATGCGCTCTACGCATAAAACATCGACTCCAATCTCATCATCATCACAATCGATTTCTTCTTTACTCCAAATGGTAGTGCCATCTTTTTCCCATTGATCATTCTAGCACATTCTCTTCTCGATTTTACCAGAATGCAACGTCCATCTCCACTTCAAACGTTTCATCCTCCCATTGGTCGAATTCCCCTGCCAGCCGAATATTCATTGTTATTCCTGGTACTTAGAGGGGGGGGGTTAAAAAAAAAAAACCCTTTTTCGGCATGCATGCTCCACATAAATGACACCTTAAACGTGCAGCACGATTGGGAATTCCTTAACTATCGACATTCTTCGCCCAATTTCGACTAACCTCATGCCACCGGATCCATCGCTTATGACATGTCGATTGGGCACCACTTCGTCCAAGAGATTCGACAACTGCTGACCTACTTAACTTTAACCAAACCATCATACTTTAACAACAAGGAAAATAAAATTACCCTTAAATGGCAAAAATGCGAGACAAGGATAATACCGATTGTTATTCTACTGTAAACAGAACCAAAATTGGTGATCAATCGTCGGAAACTTTGTTACGGGGAAGGGGGAACATGCAGTTAGTCGGTTTACATCTAGTCAAAATCGTGAGGAAACAAAGATGATGATGGTTCACACACAAGGCGATTGAACATTAATGAATGAAATGAATGAATCAAAATTTGTCTAATCTACTTCGCCCAACCGAAGAAGCATACATTATCTCCACAATAACAAAGCACGCAGACCATCCACACATTAATGGAGGGTGTACATCAGAGCTAAAAAATGCGTAGGTACATACGACTTTTCGCCACTGCAGAAATTCAGACGTAAAATTTTCTCCGTCGTCATCCAACACACATCCAAACATCGTCGCGATCATCAAATTTCCCCAAACAATAAACAAACAAATTTTTTATAACGAGCATTACTTTGCAGCCGTTTCGGTGGTATTATTACCCCATCATCGATACGTATGCACCACACACACACACACACACACACACACACACCCATTCAGCCTCTCTCACTATAATGATTGAATTGAGTACTCATTAATTCCTCATTTAGAGCTTATTTTAAATAATAATTTCTTAACACC